AAACAATTGCTGCATAAAAGAAACAAAGAAACAAAACCAAAAACAGAAGAAGTCGACCTTGGTGGAGAGACAAGCACCCGAGGCAATGGCAACGATTGTGACGGCGACGTGAGTGATGGTGGAGGTGATGGCGCCATGGATAGCGAGGATAACACTGGAGGAAGCAGCAGTGATGGCGTTTAAAGAAACAGAAATTGTGAATCTGATTCTGCTTAATTATCTAAGCTGGGAGACACCCAGATCTGGGTTTGAGAACTGGGTTTTTCTCAAACCCAGATCTGGGTTTTTTTCAAACAACCCTAGAACAAAATCCTCAGAGGCATAACTGTCGGCATGATCATGTCCCTCCCCAGGCGAACCTGACCCGTTTGAGTTATGCGCACTGGAATTTGACCCGGCATACTAGCGCTCTTCCGGATCAACCCGTCCGTCAAGCGCACCTCGAAGAGCTTGACCTCGCAGTTGGGGCATGTCTTGGAGTTGTGTCCGTTGTGGCTGCAATGCGAGCAGCGCCGGCTCATTTTTGGGTCCGGGCTCGGCAGATCGAGGAAGGGGCAAAGGGGTGAGAGAGAAGAAGGGAGGAAGAAGAAGAATAATAATAATATCATAATTTATGTGGGTTTTTATTTAAATAAAGAAAAAATGCCACATGTAAAAACAAAAATGCCATCTCGTCAAATAACGTTACGTGGATTTTTCATGTAATTATTAATTTTTTAAAAATGTAATTTTGTGGCAAGACAACGTGCCACTTGTCATTTAACTGACGGAAGGACCATTTTGGTACCGAAAATGAAAGTTTGAGGATAATTTTGGTACTTTTTAAAGATGAGGGACAATTTTGATACCAAAGTGGATAGTTGAGGGACCAAAATGGTACTTAAACCTAATAATAATGATAGTAAATGAGACCTCTTTCATCCCTAGTGTAGATCTTTACTCTATAACGAATGATCCTCATGTTGAAAATGAAGAGTGCAGCAACTACAATCTTGAGGTTCTTCCAAGGACAAAAAGGATAAACTTAAGAGTGGTGATGAAAGAAGGTAGGGTGACCGCTTGGGAGCTTACAAATGGAACACTTGATCCTGTTTTTTATTCTAACCTTGTGATCTTGATCATTTGATGCTCAGGAAGAACTACTCAAAAGCTGAAACTACAGCATGTTGTTCCACAACCACAATATTCTACAAATCTAGAAGCACTCTGCAGTGTTGGGTGATATTCTGTAGTGTTGAAAAAATATTCTACAATGCAGGAAAATGTTTTGTAGGGCTGGAGGACACTCTACAGTGCTAGAAAATACTTTCTAGAACTAGAAAATATTCTGCAGAGCTGGAAAATACTTTGCAGAATCGGAGGCTCTGGAAACCCAAGAGAAATGGTGGTTTACGGGTGATGCCTGCATGCAGACCAACAGATTGAAGATGAGATCTATTTTTCTTTTCTTGGAGGAGGAAATGAGAGTTTTGGTGTGCAAGTTTGTTGTTGTGCTGCATGCGTCTTTCCTTTTTTTTTTGGTGTTTCTTTTTTTTGTGTCTATATGTTCTTAAAGATGAAGAACCGATAACTTATATATATATGTAGTGGTATTACCGTAATTTCTAATTGGTGGCTTAGAGGTGTGCAGAAAAGTTGGGGTGAGCTGTCGAATTTTTTGTGGTTATAGGCATTGTTGACAGCTCTGTGACATTGGCATTATGAATTGCCCAACGGTCCCAACGAAGTTTGCTGGTTCTGGCGAAGAAACTAGAAATTGCATATTTTTGGCAATGTCCCTAGCCATACGAAATCCCATCTTTGGAAAGGTGCTTGAGTGTAGCCAGCAAAAACAACATCAACACAGGATTTGGTGAGTTCCCCAGGTTTTGCGCAAGATTTTGGAAGATTTTGCTAGCAGATAACAATCTTTACAACAGTTTCCAAGGCCATGGAACTCGTGTAGCCACCCTTGCATTAAATATGGCTACAAGTAGCTGATGGTGACCAAGACAGCACCTCTGGTTAGTTTCTAGCAAGATTTCCAATCTTCGGTTAACATCTAATTACATTGTTCTAGGAATCAAGTTCATTTCCATGCTTTTGCCACCCAGCCTCTTTCTGGCAAAGTTGGGCAGCACCGCCAACGCCAAGCTTCGCTAATGTGGATGCCTTGCTTTGCTAGACAGGCAGCGCTCATCCATCCATGCCTACCAAGTCACTACTCCCATAATTTATCCTGAATAATCCCCATGAGTTTGGATTCATGGGCTTGTGTTTATCTATAATAACAACAAGGCACATGTGAATATATGTTCAGATATTTAAGAATAAGAAATATGTAGGCATATGCAGCGAAGAAGGAAACTCCCTCATGTTTTGAAGGGGACTGTGTGAATGAATATTCGTTGCTCTCATTTGCCTACTGGTCATGGCCGACATTAGTTTATTGCTGTTGTACATGACTGGCGTTGCACCAAAATGAGGAACAAGTGGTATGGGTGTGTACTATGATATTGTTGTATCAAGCCAAGCTTTGTTGGTCAATAATACTTGCCGACACGTAAGACATAGAAAATATGTGTTATGAATCAGGATTACCAACGATTGGTAATTTTGTCCCTTTATGTAGAATAGTGACTATGTGCATGACCCCCGGCCATGTTATGTATGTATTGTGGGGTCAGCCATGCATAGCTTCCCCATAGCCTGTGGGACAACAGTGGCTAGCTTTGTCCATGGTTGAAGCGTGAACTATGTGGAATCGGAAAGGCACTCCCACTAATTTGCCAAGCTGCGAAGGGGTAAATCTCATTAGACCAGATTATGCCATAGCGATGAATATGTATAGAGAAATGTGGAGTTGTCTCCATGGAAGGGGGACGCCAGCCGCATCCATGGCCTCTGATACGACAAGGTATGATACCACTGACAAACATTGGTCCTTCTTACTATACTCGCACCATCAGAAGGTGGTCCTGGTTGTTGTTGCCGACCAGGCACCACATTACCATGCACGGGTGACCACCAAGGGACCGTCGGCCGCTACTTGATGGATTTTTATTGCTGGAGGGTAGCCATCCTATCCGATCGTAGGATTGCAACTATTATCGGTCTGACACTAATTGTACCGAGTTGCACTAACTCTTTGTCCGTTTTCGAGAGCCAGTGAGATAGAATATGTAGAAATTCGACCCTTTGTCCATTGTCGAGAGCTGGCGAAATGAAGATATGTAGAAATGTGTAGCCTTTTGTCCGTTGTTGGAGGCTAAATGAGATAGTGAATCTAACCCTTTGTCCATCGTTGGGAACTGTGTAGATATAATAAGATTAGCCCGTCGTCCATTGATGGGAGCCAAGCAGCAAAATAGGCTCTTTATCCATGTTGGGGAGCTAAATTATGTAGCGGTAAACATTGCTGTAAAGGCCATGACTATCAAAAACGCCCAACCATGTTGCGTAGATAATGTGGCCGTGTCTGGCCATGTGTAAGGGAATGCTGTTGAAGTAGAATATGTTTGTATCATTCCCAGCAAAATGGATAAATGCCGCTCCTGGTGATATATAAGAGAATAATGTTGAATGCTGTTTCTGGCGATGTTGACTTTAGTGTAGCAATTAGTAGAAAATAAGAACTGCACGAGAAGTGAGTGTTGTGGGCCCTTGCTGATGTGGATCTGCACACGTTATTGGTGATGTAACCATATAAACTCATCTCTCAACACTAAGTAAAAATATATTAAAAAAATATAAAAGGTACATCAAACCCTTACACTAGGCCTCAAACTACTGTGCCTCGAAACTTAAATAACTGAGGGAATAGAAACCAATCACTAAAGCTAGAGGTAGATTTCTCATACTTTCCTTTGATCCAGTGGAAAAACTTCAATTGAATCAACTCAAACACTTTGTTTTCATCCTAGGTAGAATGATTAAACACTATTATTTCTTGTAAGCCATATGGACCAAGCTGTTGTAAAAATAGTCGAAGACCAACAGTTGCAAGAGAATCTAGATCCAGTCCCAAAGGCAAGATGCAGCAAGAATTGAGAGGCTGAACCTGGGTAGACGAACGAAGTGTTCCACCATCTAAAAATTCGTTGTTAGATTTCAATGACTTTACTGCAGGAAGCAAAAACATGGTCAACATCTTCTTTGCAAGCATATCGCAAAATATGCAGCTATCTTGTTGTGAAAGATCAATTCCTCTGGCAGCCAAATTGTCGCGGTTCAGCATGAGACGCCAAGCAAACACGCTAACTTCGAGGGGACAACATCGGGTCCGAATAAGTTTGCAGGAATTGCTGTCCAAGCACGGACTAGAGACTTCAAGAAAGGAATATGCCCTTTTTGGAGAGTATCCAACAGTGCTGTACTGCCATTTTATTTGATCAGGGAAGCCATTGGGACGCTGGACCTCTTCTAGTATGTATATCTTCCAACTGCTGCAATTAATCAATAGCTCTACTTGACAACGGTCTTCGCCATGCAAGCCTCCAACAACCATTTGAATCTCTATTTGGTTTAACATCTGCAACAGAGATATTTCTAGACAAAGAAAGATTATATGGGCTGGGAAATTTTTGTGACAAGGGGCTGCACCCAAGCCAACATTCTTGCAGTATTTAATCTTAGAGCCATCACCAAATTTCCATTTGAATTCCTTGTTAAAATAAAGTGGGTTGTGCTACAAGCTTGACCTATTGATAAAATATCTCTCCATGCAGGGGAAAAGTTTGTTTTTGCAGTGCAAGAAATAGAAACTGGTTGTGATCCCCATAGTATTTGCTCAAGACAATTTTTTTCCACAAACTGTTATTTTCTTCCCACTGTAAAGCTTGTCCCACCATCTATCGCGAAGACTTAAATTTCTAAGAAGCAAACTTGGAACACCTAGCCCACCCTTATTTTTCTCAAGGCAAAACTCCCTCCCAATTAAGTGAAAAAATTTTGTTTGATCCTTAGACCTGCTCCAAAGAAATTTTCTTGGAATACTAACTAATTCACATAAATGGAGAAAATGGTGAATTTATCCCTTTACTTTAGCTGATTATTGAAGTAAAACTCTGTACTATTTAATAAAATAAATAAACACTTCTACTTTCAAGTTGAATAAAATTAATCTTCTTATATTTAAGGTAAAATAAATTAACTCAAATTTAATTAATGGCATCATCTTATGTCACAATTCCACTCATCTCCTGCCATCCCCGTTGACTTTCAATCACTTCCCTTGCATTTTATTAACTTCTTGCTGACGGAAAGGTCATGGGCAATTTTTTTTATGACATGGCAATCATTTACACGGTGGATAAAACCCACAGCCAACTGCACATATGGTATCAACTCCACAATCCTAGTGGCGACACGTTTTCTTTGTGAGTGCAAATTTTAAACATGTAGGATCGACACTACAGTGTTGATACTAACATTCTATATGTGTCGAAATTTTAGTTCTGTTTTTAATTTCTTCAATGGTAAAATAATAAATTAGGTCATTTAACTTCTGCAGAATGAGCATTTTGATACAAGCACAAATAAAAAAAAAATTGAATAAAAGAGCTCAATAAAATTCCTAACAAAATAAATTTATAAATTCCTTAATGGAACCAACCCTCTTTCAATCTGTTTTTTTTTTTTTTTTTGTCTTTTTTTTTTTAATATAGATGCAATGTATTCCTCATCTTCCTTGTGACTCCAGTGAGCACTGCATAATTCATCATCACTTTCAAAATCATATTCTATGTCATCTTAGTCTTGTAAATTCTCCAAATTGTCCCCATTTGTAATTATATTCTCACTACTAGAGAACCTAATATCATCGACCAAAATATCACTTATGTACCAAAATATGACCAACATGATAAGTTTTGTTGGTTAACGAATGCTTTACCAACAAAGAACATGTTTGTACAGTGAAACACAGTAAGATTAAGATTAATTTATATTATTTAAAGTGACTATTTTGTCAGTAAATTCATATTATACACGTGTTTTTTGTCGCATTAGTCCCGAATATTCACTCCATCAACTTTAGCAACTTTTCCAGTGCAATGAGCAGAGAGTTTAAGGACCGACGAAGCTCATATCGATAACTATGAGGTCCCGCAATAATAATCTACTCGGTAAGTTGCAATCTGCTGGGTAATAACCACTCCAGCAGCTTTTCAGTTCAGTAAGCAGAAAATTATGTGACCGATGAACCTCACATCGATAAACTAGGCTTAATACCGACGAGAGCTTTGTCGGTAACCTCCCCTTCACTGCTGCAGTCAAGTTTCAGTAGGTTTTACAGCTTTTCCTCAGTTTACTGACAAGATTCTTGTCAGTAATAGTTTTTTTTTGGGCAACCATTGTCTTCTCGGTGATGGGGCTGGTCAAGCAGAAGTCTGTTGCAGTGTAGGAGGCGATCAGTTTTTCAATTTGCAACGTGAACCTCGTTGGTAAGGCTAACCCTTGCTCATTTACCCAGCCGAACCCCCCTTTCCCCTCTCATTTTCGTCTTCCTCTTTCAACAGCAGTTTCCTTTCCTCCATTCCTTCCTTCGAATCACTTTAACATTTTTCGTCTCATCACGGTGGGCAGATCAAGCAGCGGTAACTGAGACTTATGTAATATTACTATTATTTTGTATGTTTTTGCATTAAATCTAAGAATTTTATGCATATTTTTGGTTTTTTTAGAATTTAAACTATAAAATATTGTGATTAATTTATTTGATATTAGCATTATCAGATTTGTTATTTTGAATAAATTTTATATTAGATATTTGTTAATAACTTTTCAACAATTTTTCATTGAAATTCTGGTAATTAAAGATGAAATTCCAGCATTATAATAATTATTTGATATTGGTATTGCCAAAATCCTGAACTCAAGGTTTTTAAAATCGGACCGAATCGATCGGTTGAACTGGTCGGACTGGTATCCGATAATGAAAATGGTTTGATTTATATAAAAAACCATTTGATGTCAAAATCGGTCAAAATCGATCAAAATCGATCAAAATCGATGGAACCAATGGAACCAGAAAAATCACCGGTTCAATTTCTCATGCAATAATCTTTCTATTTTTTTCAATTTCACCCTCACCATTCCTTTCTTGTACCGATTTTAAGCTTGGAAGTGCATGTTGCCTGCTTGTGGCCTGCCCATCTCATCAGATTCTCCCTTGTTGTTTGGATCGATCGGTTCATCAGTTCAACCAATTAAACCAATCAAATCAAAAACCGAACCTGAAAATGGTTCAATGACCGATTCGATTTTAAAAACCTTGCCTGAACTTTGCATTAGATGACTCTAGCATCTAATTTTTCTTTGGATTTTATTGCTTAATTTCTGTATTTGTGGGATTAGGTTCTTTATGTGAGAAAACAACTTTTATATAGAATCTGTTTATGAGTAGGAGTACCTCTTGCACTCCATGTTAGTACATTTTGACTTATATATATATATATATATATAAAGCATTGCCAAATTTGTTGTTTTGGGTAAATTTTATAGATATTTGTCAATAATTTTTTGGTAATTTTTTGGTGAAATTCTAGTGATTAATGGTGAAATTCTAGTAATATAATAACTAATTTTATTTTATTATTGTATCTATTTTAAATTGTATTATGTTAATTTTAAATGCAATTTTTATAATTTAATAGTATAAATAAATTTTTTTTACAAAAAGTTTTTATAAATTATTAATTTAATAATTATTTTGTAAGCTAATATTTTAGTTTGTAGATCTTCATTGATCCTCATTATACGATGAGTTTTATTTTCACTATACTAATATAGTTTTGTCATAACTTAAAATTTTAATAAAATTTTATTTTTATTCTAGTTTTATTTTTATATTTTAACTAATTTGATTTGTCTTTACTCTTATTGTTAGGTTTATGGGTCAAAAAGGGAGTTCGTGAAGAGGATGTAAAAGAAAAGAAGAAAAGGATTCAATTGAAGAAATCAAAAGTTGGGGGATGAAATCCTTTAAGCTATAAATCTAGCCCATTTCTCAAACCCATCTCAAATGGCCCAACTCCATAAAAATCAGCCCAAACCCAATCCAACACCAACCCATTTTAATTGAGCCCACTAAATTATCAAAATCCAAGCCCACCAACTACCCAAAACCCATTTAACCAAAAAAAAAAAGGGAGGACGGAATCTTCTTCAAAGCCAACCCTAGCCTTCTCTCTCTTTTAAAACCGGAAATATGGCAAGAAGAAGGAAGAGGGCCTGCAGAACAGAAAACAAAGAAAGGGAAAGATCTCCTGCCTTGCTCCCCTACGCCCTTGCGCCTGCAGGCCTGCACCAGCCCTTGCACCGGCGCTGCACCAGCCTGCGCCTCTGCCCTGTGCCCCTGCACCGGCCCTGCACCAGCCTGCGCCCCTGCCCTGTGCCCCTATACCGGCCCTGCACAGGCCCTGCACTAGCCCTGCAATAGCCCTGCACTTTCCTCTTTGCGCCCCTGTGCTTCAAATCCCCTCTGCCTCTGCGCGCCTGCACCAGCCTCGCGCCCCTGCATCAGCCTCGCGCCCTGCACCGGCCTTGCGTCACGCCCCCCACTGGCTGCAATCCTCTGCACGCCACTGCAGCCCAGCCCGTGCCTGCTCTCCTGCACAAGAAACAAAAAAAAGGGGCTTTCGTCCCTTGCTTTTCCTTGCATAAATCAGCAGCTTGGGGAATTTTGGCGCTTTAGGATCAACAGTAAAAAAAAAAAAAGGGGTAGGATTGGAATGCTAGAAAAAGAAGGATCTCTGCCCTTGCTTTTGTGGGTATAAATAGAGAGTTTTAGGTTAGGAAGAGGGGGGTTCTTTGGTTGATTTCTGGATCTGGTTTTGGGAGTCTCGTCTGGGTTTTCGAGAGTAGTAAAGGGAGATTTTGTGGAGCTTCCAGATGAGTCATCGGAGACTTAGCATCTTCTGGGTTTTATTCTCTTAGGTAATTTCTGAACAGAGGAATTTTTGGGGAAGAGCCGTGAGGGAGAAGAAGGGAGCTTGATCCCGTGGGTGGGATCCCTCCCTTCGGATCTTAATCTGCTTTTTTTTTAGAAATTTCGCCTTGTTTGATTTTGATTGCAGTAGATTTTTGCTGTATTGAAATTGTATTAAATGATGATATTGGGAATGAAATCAAGCATGAATTTCATGGATCTGAATTCGAATGGATGTTTATCTGCTTTTTTTTTTTTGGTTTATTTTGTTGAATGGCTGAATAGCAACCCTAAGTTCCCATTTCTTTTCTCTCCAGATTCGTTCGACGTTTGATCCGTTTTTGCATATTGGATGAATGTATATCTTTGCTGGAAATGACATGAACCCTAGTTGCAAGTTTCCTTTATGCATGTTTGATCTGTATTTGTTTATTTAGAGTAATGGGTCGTGTTTCTGGGTTGCATCAACCCGACCCAATTCGATATATAAAAAAAAAAACTAAAAAGGATAAAAAGTAAAAAAAATTAATAATATAAAATTATTAATTAATAAAAAAGGTTAGTTTAATTTATGATTAATGAAGTTAATTAATTTTAATTAAAATAAATTAATTATATTTATTGAGTTTGATTTGAGATGATTAAATTTATTTAGTTATCTTAATTAATGATTAGTAAATATGATTAATTAATTTTAATTAATTTTAATTAATGTTAAGTTAATTATTTAATTAGGTTAATTATCTTGATTAATTAATTTTAATTTTCAATTAACTTTAATCTTGGTCAAAATCAAAGTTATCTTTTATTTTATCTCAATTTCACCCACAAGTTTTATGATTAAGCAATTCAGTCCCAAAGTTTCAAATCTTTTTAAATCAGTCCTCCATATTTTCGAATTTAATCAAATTAGTTCCTTTAATTTTATTTGTGCTTATGATGCATGCTTGTCTTTGATTTTGTCCATTTTAGTCCAAAAATTTTAAAACTGTTTCAATTTGGCTTATCCTTCTTTCAAACTTACCTATTAAGACTCAAACATAAACATAATGAGTAAGTTGAATTAAAACTTCCCAATGTTAAAGTATGCAACCGTCTTTAAATGAAGGATTGTGAGGTGCACGTATGCCCTTCCTCACTTCTAACCGAACCCTCGAACCCGATCTCTGTGCAGACCTATTTTTGGTGACTTGTCCCACTTTATAATTTGGACGAGTGGCGACTCTCTTTTCTTTTATATTTTTACACATAATAATTTTTCATTGTTTTGAAAAAATCTTAAGTGGTCGTCAACAGATTGGCGACTCCACTGGGGATACCTAACCTAGAATCTCTGGTTTCCATATTCTAGGTTCACGAGGGTTGAGCTAATACTTTAACTTTGGGAGCATTTTCAACTTTTAATTTTCTTTGTTTGTTGAGTCTTTGTTGATCTTTGTGCTTGTTGCGTGTTGCTTGTTGCTTGTTTGCTCATTGTTTTAGTGGTTGCTTTGATTGTTTTGCCTTTGAGTAGTTATCTTGCTACATCTTGATATGCATCATACCTTGCTCATATGTTCATGCATCATAGCATCTCACATGCTCATCCATCATTGATATTATATGCTTATTCATCATGCATCATGCTTACATGACTGCCTGCTTGTGTGTGGATATACTCACCTTTTACACTTGGCTATGGAGTACTTAGTGAGTCTCTTCCCTCTTGTGTGATTATTTACATCTTGTTGCATGCTAAGTGTTGGTTGCTTTGTGTTACTAACCTTTTGCATTTGGCATGGGAGTACTAGGTGAGTCCCTTCCTGTTGTGTAAGTGGGTGTGTTTGTGAATGCTATATCTGTTGAGTGTTTTATATGCTTTATTTGATTGCTGTGGGATATATGTTGCTATTTTTGTGGTTGCCATTGTGCAAGTTATTGGAGTGTCATGCCCCTTGCACACACACACTCTCATTTTGCATTAGGTCTGTGTTTGAGGTGAACCCGACCTCTAGTCTAGAATCTTTACGAATCTGGCTTGGAAGAGCAATTCTTCCCGCTTTGAGGAGTAAGATCAGTTCCCGTTAGGTTGTTTCCATTGGTTAATATGACACTTGATGATGTAATATCATTCTGTGTATTAGCTTTTGGAAATATCTCCTGTTGATTCTGAAAGGATAAATGGTTGAGAAAGCCTAATGCCCTTTAGGAAAACATGTAATGGCCTTAGAGAGATACCAACCCTAAGACATGTTTCCCTTAGCATCCCACCCGTGAGGTTAGGGATCCTGTGTCTAAGACACAAAAGGGCATTTTACTTCACTAACCTTGTCTCCGCATATGACAGGTTTTCATTCTTATGTACATTCGAGGTATGATTAGTTATTCATCTTCTGCATTTAGACATCATTCTTGAGGTTAGGTGCATTCCATGCACTTTGTATCTTCACTTTTAGCCCTGTGCATCAAAAAAAAAAAAAAACTAAAAAAAAAAGAAGAGTTCATGATTGTTTCACATGTCATGTATCCATCCTACTCATTTCACATTAAATCTTCCATATGTCTTGAAGATTTCACATGTCATACGTCCATTGTATGGTATTTTCCATCTCATGCATTGCAAAATATATTTTCATGTTCATCTCATGTGACATTCTCCATTTTGTTTCATTTTTCATCTCATGTTTCAAAAGAAAAAAATTGCAAAAAAAAAAAGTAAAATTCCACCAATGTTTAGTACACTACATTTTCCATCTCATATAAAAATTGAAAAAAAAAAAAATCTCATTCACATGCATTTCACACTAAACTTTTTATCTCAAATTTTCATTCCAAGCATTACTATCTCCATCTCATATTTCCCTTATTTTATAAAAGTTGCAAAAAAAAAAAAAGGAAAAATGCAAAAAAATGAAAATTTTATCTCTGTTTCATGCTATTAGTTTCCTTTTCATGTTTCTTCATCTCATCTTTCTCACATTTCAAGCAAAAAAAAAGAAAAAAATTTGCATAAAAAGTGAAGCTTTCTTTCATGTTCATTTCACATTTCATTTTTCTTTCATCACATATTTCATTCCAACCACCACTATTTCCATCTCATAGCTCAAAAACAAATGCCTAAAAATGAAAATTGCATTCACATGCACTTTGCATTACATTACTATCTTTCATTGTCTTATACTTTATAAAAATTGCATAAAAATAAAAAAATCTTATCCATGTTCAACTCTCAGTACATTTTCAATCTCATTTTTCATTCAACCTTACATCACATTTTCCATCCCATGTCAAATTGACATTCATCTCATGCTCATTTCATGTTTAGAATAAAATCAAATTTGATCCTCATATTTTCTTGTTCTTCAATCAAGTCCTTCAAGTCATGATTTTCAAAAAAATTGTCCAAACTCTCATTCAAAGTTCTCACCATCTTGCATTTTTTTTTTTACAAGAAATTTATACCCGCATGTTTCAAACTTCATAAAAAAAAAAGAAAATGAAAAAGAGTTTCTTCCAAGATAAATTCATGAAAAGTCCATCTCTTAGACATCAAAATAATTTGAGCACATGATTTTGGAGCATCACATCATCCATTTTCTCCAAGTATCACACCATTCACTGTTTCTTCAAGCTTTAAGGCATTTGCTTTCTTTTCAAAGGAATGATATTTCCTATGAATGCCAATTTATGGGTTGCAATAATGAATCATCAACTTCTCCTTTGAGACTTGTTTGGCATACTTAATGAAGAAAAATTCATGTTTTAGGATACAACTTCACACATTACCACCTGTCAGCATGTTTATATTCTTACATCCTTTATCTCTCGTTTTCCATCCACATTTGTTTCTTCTCTTGCATTCCCAAAAATCCATGTTTTAGGACACAATTTCACACACATTATCACTTTCGAGCATCTTCATGTTCCTTCATCTTGTATCTATTGTTTGGCATCCATGTTTATTTCTTTTCTTGCACTCCTATAATCCTATTTGATTCTCTGCCTTCAACAATTGAGATATGGATTCATACATAGTCAAGCACGAATCTTTGTCAGTCTAGACAACTTTTGAAATGTTCATTCGCAATGAAAGCTTTGATCAATAGAGGATTGAGGAGATCTTTAACTGCAAACATTTTTCTCCTGTCAAAGGGCAAGCTTAGAAGGACAAGAACCAAGAGCAGCCTCGAAGATTAAAAGCTTAAGCACATCATACTTCATGTTGCTCCAGCAATCAAGGGATTCATCAAGGAAAGGAATGTAACTAGTCATTGAACAATCATACTTTGAAAGATCTAGGAGTTAGATTTTACTAGGGACTTGAATGCTACCATGTTGATGTACTTAGTGTGATGTACTAGGCTTTTACTTTGTAATGCATGTTGAACTGCTTGTAAGTGTCTTTTTTACAACCCTTTGAGTCTGATGGAAATCTCAAGGCGTTCAAAGATATTTTGCTTCATCTGAGGCTCCTTGAGGATTGGAAATCAACAATGTGTGAATCCATATAGCAACTATTGAAGCACTAAATCATGCAAAATTATGGGATGACTTCTAACATTATTCTGCCTTTGTTTATTTTTCTTTTACTTTTTGTTTGTAGGTAGGCTTCATAAACTACTAAAAAAAAATCAAGCATGCCAATCTCCCTATGCTTTCTCTCTCTTTGGAGCAATACATCATTCATCTAGAAGACGACCTCAACATACTCTTATAAGCTCACCAAGATATGATGTTGAAGTGGACTTACACACAAGATATGTGGATCTAGATTCAATGAATAAGGGAGTAGATCTAGGACATGGGGAAACCTTAGTATTATTGCTCCTAGGGATGAACCCCTATTTGACATGATCATTACTTCTACCTTGGGGGCACTTTGGCCAATTGGACAGTCAAGCTTGTCTCTGCTTCATTCATCCATGAGTAGGATAAATCAGCTTTCTAGTAGCTCAGCTTGTGGCTACATGAAAGGAGGGAGTAACAAGCTCTTTTATATTCTTTGAAATATTTGCTACCATGCTAATTAGTTTTCCCAGTCTTTACAATTCAGTAACATATGTTGCCATATTGTCATCTTTTAAACTTGATGCAACTCTTCTTGATGCCATT